GTTGTTCCTCCCGCTTCCTTTTAACCTGACAAGCGTTCGATGGATCGGTGTGTCAATGCATCGTTGAATATTTCTGTACTATTATCAACCAAGAAACCTAAGCAGACAGGCTCTTCCTCTTTATTGTTCCTCCCTTGGTATTTTTCCCAGACCATGTCAACCATCACTCCCCTTTGATGAAGGAGGACATACTATCAGTTTCAGTTTTCACAGCTGATATTTCCCCTCCTTACGTTGACCACGACTTGTGTGCACAAGGATACACGTTCGCGTGCTACAGTCGTCCCGCATTCAGCCTACCATCCACCGTACCATGATGTACGGTAAAATCAAGTTTGGTTATTTCTATTGCATGGACATTACTAGAAATACCAAAGTGTTTCTGTTGGAATATTGCTACAAGCAACGTATAACCATACTCGCTTACTCACTTACTCATTTACCTAAGCATTGCTTTGATTTGATTAACTATGCTGGTCTGGAGGCGTTTTGTCAGTCTACATTGGCATTACCCTCCCTTACCTTCTTCACGGTTTCACTGGACTTGGCGTTTTCCTTCCAACTGTTGCTCAAGAAGATTGCCTACTTATTAACGTGGAGTTTTTTCACCATAAGCAAGGTTAAGCTGGTTCCTTGCTCCCTATGCGCATCATCACCTTGTGATATGAGAGATGGGGTCCAGCTAATTTGCCTGCCCTAGAGCGCTTGCGACCATCGGCACAATACAAGCTTTGAGCAGCCGTGAAAGGAGAGGTTACCAGTCTAGGTTAGGATACAGTATTCACTGCGCCTTCACATGGATGTTTTGCATATCACGTGTCAGGTTTTTTTCTCAGGTATGTAGACAAACCTGCCGATCTTGGAATTAGGTACCGACAGACATAATGTGAACTGGTCGGCGGTCCTTATTTTCTGTCGTACATGTGACAGTAAGTAGATCTACATTGATTTATACCTTACAGTGTCTGAATCACTAACTTTCAGTTCGACCTTGATGGCGTGATGACGTTTCACTATGCTGAGTTTGAAACACTTCCTCACTTTCTCAGAATTATTTTATGAGCTTCGGACTACATGATGCAACTTCAATGTTTACATTTGTTTTTATAACTGTCCTGCAGAAAGACCAAGGAGTGATGTGAAATTGTTCCCACCATCGCCTGACCTGACAAACAACCTTTTTTCGAAGCCTCAAACGTGGGTTTGGGAGCTCATTAACAGGATCTACACGTGGCAGGGTGGTGGTCCGCCAAAAACAGCCCTCCACACATCAATAACTTTCAAAGCAATTATCTTGGCAGTGTCTCATCAGCAACACTTCTTCAGGACTCCAATCTGATGATTCAGGTGGACAACTTATCTGTCATCTGGTACATAAAGATGGGCTCCACCAAGTTGATGTCACAACTGTCTCAGACGTTCGACTGTTTTTACTGATCAACTCACTCAACATACAAGTTCGGGCAAGACATATCCCCAACCTCTCCTACGTCATAGCAGACTTCATGTCCCGACCTGACAAACCATCTCTCACAGAATGATGCCTACATCCAATGATTTTCAAGTGTATTTGCAATAGCGACAGTCATGGGATGGCTCTAAACTACAATCTCTGCTATTTACCGGCATGCGGACCCAACAACTCCTGTCTTCAGGCAGGGAGGGGTACTTCCTGTATCCTGGAAATGTAGGTTACATAGGATAACTGATCACACTCAGAAGTTACGGGACTGGTTTCAAGACCACTGAAAGTGACATCATAACCAGAAGTGACGTCATCAGAGCTGGTAGGGACGTCATGGGTGTCACAGTTTGGAAGGTCATGAGATTGATGATGTGACAATTGGGGAATTGGACACAAATAAAATGGTAGTTCTATCAAAGTTAACCACATATTTGCATGTCCTTGGTGGATGACAAGACAATGACTTTTGTTGGAAAGGCTCTCGTGAACCCATGGACATATCAACAAAATCCTCACACAGGGAAAATTAAAAACAACTAAAAGTTTCAGTTAGTGGGTCAGTTGATATATTTGGAGGAACATTTTTCAAGGTTTTCAATATTTAAGAACAATTTCAAAAACAGACTTGTCAAACCCTCTAAGATTGACGAGCGCACCTAGAGGAAATTATTCAAGCATTGGAAAACGTCTGCTCGAGCTTATTTGGTCAGTAAGTGGTGAAATACAACTATCAATAAAATCAGTGAAATTAGAAATATCAGAGATAGAACATCAGGATACCGCGACATACCATAATGTATATTGCAAAACAAGGAGGATATCATTGTCTTGAAAAACAATTCCTCATGAAAGACATACATGACGGGAAAACAAACTTCCCTTTCTATTAAACATCCTTATATCCTCAGGAAAGTACTTACTTGGCTCTCAGAAACTTCCTCATCGACACCCGGAATTTTGACAGTGTGAGAGTATATGATATGTTCCTCATCATATCCCACAGACTTCCAATCTTAGAATATCAGAGAAAGAACCACACAAACCTCATTTAGCAGAATTGCCACCTTTGTTTACTTGCCCAGATCAAGAAGCATTATATGACCCAAGAAAACCTGCAGACTGACTGGCCCCACCCCAACCCCACCATGCTCTAGAAGAGGTGAGCCATCCTGAGTCGACAGCTGAGAACCTACCACCTATTGATACAACGAGTTTGTTTTGCTTGTGTGTGCTCTATGTTCTGTATTATGTGTCTTTCCTGCAACAACTTTTGTGGAGAATCCATACAAAAGAGTCCCGTCCCATTGATGACATGTGTCAAACCAAGGCAGCGAGCCTGACCACCCAATCCTGTTAGTCGCCTTTTACAGAGGACTTCTGTTGAAAATCGGAAGATTTTATAATGTAATTACAGTTGAAATAATCAATTTCTGGCACTGATGTAATAGAGGTCATATTCTTAGGATTATTAACAATCACTGTTTTTACACAATTGGAGCTACCAAACAGCACAACCACTACCTGGTTATGTTGTTTCAGTTTACCTAGGTGTCATTTGTTTTTCTTCTGTGAATATATGTCCCGCAATCTGAAACTGTAAGAGATTATGCAGGCTGCACTTTCAAAAAATATATACACAAAGAAAAAGGTCAAGCACACACCTATTTCAGAACCATGACAAATGGCAAAAATCATGGCATGGGATGACTGACCACAGGAGCTGGCCGTAAACCAATGTCATCGGATAGAACAAACATTTGACAACAAATAAAGAAGATATTGGTGTGTTGTGATTGAAATTTACTGACAAAAACATAATGGTAACACAGGTACTGTTTTTGACCTTAGAAAATAGCTAAAAAAAAGTATGGAGCTGCAGGATTAAGTAAATGAGTTACGTTTGATGTTTCCTGTGAAAATGTTCCTTAAAGTCTCTACTTGACATGACATGTGAAACATATCAGTAGTGGGTATAACTGCCACGTGCCCGGATGACGCATTCCACCCTATGTCTCATGCCTCCAGTCAGACGTTGGATCTGTTGATGGGTCAACAACAACCACTCCTGATGCAATGCTGCTTCCAATTGGCGTAAATCTTGTACAGGATGATCTCCTGCCTGTATGCGCCGCCCCAGAATATCCCAAACATGTTCAAGGGGGTTCACATCTGGGCTCATTGCTGGCCAGGGTAGAATCGTTATTGCATTGGCCCTCATGTAATCCATGACTGCATGCGAACGATGAGGCCTGGCATTGTCATCCATGTACTGAGGTCGAGTATGAAGAGGGTGGTTGTCAAAATGAGGAACAATGACTGGCCCCAAAACGTCCAAGATGTACTGATCCCTGTTAAGTTTCCCCTTATGGTGACCAAATTCAACCTGCAATCATGAGAGATACACCCCCAAACCATTACCGAGCCCCAGCCATGTGCAACAGTTGATTTAATGTTCCTGGGGGTGTAGGCCGTGTTCCTGTGCCTCCAAACTCTCGTTCTTCAATCATGCAGTGACGTGGAGCAGAAAGCGACTTTCATCTGACCAGTGGATCCGCCTCCAAGTTCTCAGATTCCAGTTCTGTCGCACAATACACCATGCTAACGAGCAGCTTTGTGGTGATCTCTCTACAAGGGACACTTCATGACTCGTCTAGCCCTCAGTTCTGCTGCTTTGAGCCAGTTCCTGACGGTTCTGGTGCTGAAACAACGATTGGGCAACCACAGCTGTTTCAGACAAGTACTTGTTAAAAAGGGTTCTCGGCGTATGAGACGAAGAAGGTCCCTGTCTTCGCGATATGTCGTCACAAGAGGTCTTCCAGATCTGGGACGGTCCTGTACATCACTGGTCTGAGCATGTTTCTCGACTAAACGGCTTACGACAGTGTGATGATACCCCAAATTCCGACCAATGGCATTACAACACATTCCTGCATTATGCATGCCGATTATTTGCCATCTTGTGGTGTTTGATAATCGCCTTCGTGCCATGGTCACACAATGTCATGGAATAACTGTTTAAAACCAAGCTTAAGAAAGCAATTTTAATGTCTGGATATACTGCTTTTAGAGATACTCGAGGGTAGCATGCTGCATGGACATACCATGCATGGCACGTGAGCTTTCGTCACGCATGACTGACATACATCATCTCGAGAAAACAATTCTTCCTGTAATTATATCTTTCATGACTGTTACAAATATTGGGACCAAACAATAATAAAATATATTAGGGTGTGCTTAACCTTTATCTTTGTGTATATGTGCTCACTGCATTTGTGTTATCAATGACAGTTATTTTTGTCTATCCCATGTCATTTTAGAAAGAGCAAAACAAATATATCATGATGCAGCTTTTTACATGGCTGGCCCTTTATTAAGTTCTGAGGAAAGAGGGAATTCCTTTCACACCTTGCAAACTTGTGATGTATTAATACTTTTATTGTGATGTTATAAGAATGAACAATCATCCAAGTAAGAATAAAAGATTAGCATTTGATGCAGTTAAGATTAATTTCCTTATGTTCATCCATTTCAGTACACTGACGTGAATAGTGAGACTTTGTATGCCAGAGAAGATGTTCTGGAGGCAATGCACGAACACGAAGGAAACAAGGAGCATGTTATACATCACTTGGACATGATGAGGCTAGCCCCCTTCAAACATCGTATATGGGTTGGAAGTGACAATCCAGAACCTGACATGATGCAACTTGCACTGAACATCAACTGTAACAGTGTATCCACAAGTGTCATATCACATCAAGACTTTCAGGACATGGTCTGCAACAAAGATATTGATTTGGAGGTAAGTGAAGTTGTAAGAAGATGTCATATACATGACAAATAGGAAGTACAAGGTTAATATGTACACGTCTCTGTCTCTGTCTGTAGCTGCCATAACATATCTAAAATTTGTATTGGGAGTTGAACTAACAAGCAGGCTGACAAGGTAAGGATGCCATCTGTAGGATGCAACATCTAGATACAAAGTATTCATCAGGTAAAGGATGAGGTCAGATAAAGGGTCTTTTAGCACAACTGCCTGAATGACTTGTGTCTTTCTGCTATGGTCTGTTTGTCCATCATGTGCTACCTGTAAACATCAAACAATAGTTATCATTGTTAATAGTTCAAGAATACCACCTCTGTTACATCAGTGCCAGATATCCTGTATTTTGACTGTCCTAACATTATAAATATCTCCAGAATCTCCAGAAGGCCTCTTCACTGTCAACTATCCATAACTATACTTTCCAAAATATGCTAAGGATCAAGTTTTGATAATATAAAAAAATCCAACAAATAAAGATTAAAATATGATCTGGTACACAATGTTGGTTAACCCCTATGGGACCTCAATTTCATGATGAATGGACAGAGGCATTCAGTCTTTGGCCAATGTGCACGAGGTACTTTAAAACCTGTATTTGAATATATCATGACAGAATATTGCACATCATTACCAGAGAGCACAACATTTGCTTCTGAGGATTGCAACAACCGAATGCTGTTCTGCCCTCTCAGCGTCAAATATGTTGTTTGACAACTGAAGAATTAGGCAGATGCTTAGGCATGCTTGAAACTGGGTCAACACAATGTCACGTTGCAAACGTCTTTGGAGTCAGCCAAAGATTGATCAGCAGGGCATGGAATCGATACAAGATGTTTGGATCAGCTACCCAGCGACATGCAGGTTGTCGACAGCATTCCACCACACAGTGAGAAGACAGGTTTTTCTGATTGCAGCATGACATCATCTTTTGTGACTGTCACTACACTCAGAAATGACCTGCGGAATGCCAGTGGAGTTAAGGTTTCTGTCCCAACAGTGTGTAATTGTCTCTGTGAGGCTGTTCTCAGGTCATGGAGGGCGTGCATTTGCCTCCAACTAACCCAACATGACAGGCAGTCACGTTTGGATTATGCTAAACATCCAGGACAGACCAGGACTGGGCTCCAGTACTTTTCACTGATAAATCGAGATACTTTCTGACTTTGCAGATTGTTGTTCCCGAGTGTGGAATAGACAAGGAAAAAGATTTCAGGATTCCAACGTAGTTGAAGATGACGTAATATAGATAGGATTCTTAGGATTATAAACAGTGTTAACTATTGTTTGATTTTGTATTCCTAATAATATATGAAACAATAGTTAACATTGTTTATAATTCAAAGAATACTGCCTCTATTCCATCATGAGTTATCCCACCCACGTACCTCTCCAATTATCTGCATCTAGGTTGGTGATGCTGGAAAGAAGTGAGTACTTCCAAGCTGTGCATGCGCAAGAGGCTCAGAAAGAAAGATACTGTTAGTATTACTAGTTATGGATAGTTGACAGGGGACTTCTATTCAAAATCTGAAGGTTTTTATTGTGTGATGACAGCCATAATATATTTCTGGATTTCTGGCACTGTGTAATAGACATGGTATTCTTTGAATTTTTAACAATGATAGTTATTAATTGATTGGTCAGGATCAAACATTAATTGGTAGCTCCAATTACTCTGAAGGTTACACACAACCAAATGTTTTCCCATAGACTTCTATAGTAACGTTATATTTTTTTAAAAATAACTAAGCATTCAACAGCTATTACCTGTACGTGTATGCAGAGTTTGGCCTTAGAGCAGCAATAAAAACATAAAAAATGACTAGCTTACCCAGCTCCTTTTCCGAGTACAGGAAGCTAAACACACCACCCCCAGTTTCGCACAAAATGTCACCTACTTGAAAATAGCTGTGGTCACATTCAGCATAATTCATTATGTTGAAAAAGACAGTACTAAATAAAGAAAAACATGGTCAGTTTTAATAACTGGATGGATGTACATTTAAAAGACATAAAAATATTACAGAATATCCTCCAATCACAGCCTGCAGATATCTCTCGATCTGCACTGAAGGCCCCCCTCGAAAACCCTACGAAAACCGCCCTGTCCCAACTGGTTCCGATTTGGTGTAGTAGAACCTGAAAATGGCATACATGTATCATACATCTAAAGTTGCATTTGTTCCCAATGACTTTGTGAGTACTCAGTATTACACACTCTTTATATCTGGAAACAATTATGAAATGCTGCCATCATATAGCTTGGATAATGTTTAATGCAGCAATAACAACATACAGTCAAAGAAGGGATTAATTTATGTTTCCAAAACAGTTGCATATATAGATGATTATGAGTTGGTGGAATATAAGCCCGCTTGTAAAACTCACTGTCCTAAAGTCATTTGTTTTATCATATATTACTCATGTATTCATTGCCTTGCCTTATCCATCATAGTTTGGCCACATCAAATTTTTGACAGGACAGGCAAGTGTTTGCAGTTTCTTGCCCTGTGGTCTGCTTAGTTTGATCGGGGAGTTTCTTACACTGATAATACAAAGAAATTAGTTAGGATGTGATTAATAAATAGTAAATGGATATGTGATGCTCAGTGTTGAATGTCTGTGCAAGTACAGACCATGGATGGGAATAAGTCAGTATCTGGTTGGATGAGAAGAGCAAGGGGTATTTAGCACACAATAGTCTTGTTTACAATACAGAAATTACTGCAGAGTCTCCACTGGCTCATTTCTGATTGGTTAAAATAATTAAGTCAAGAATATTTAACAATAAAATGATTTGATGAATAAAATATGTAGCCTTTGATGAAATAGATATCTGTAAGTGAGTACTATGATAATATGTTTATTTGCAATCTCTATTTACAGAGAAGAATACGTACTGTGTTGGTTGAAGCAAGGCTTCAGAGTTGGGGAAGAGCAGAAACTGTTGTCAAGATCCTTGACAATGACCTTGAAACACTGAAGCAAGAGAGCGACTATGACTACACTTTAGAGGATGTGGTGGAAGCAGTGCGGAACTGCCAGGATAGACGCAGCTCCATTGTATACCTGCAGAGAGAATGTGTCATCTGCATGTCCAGGTTTCCAATGAGCAAGGTATTTGACATACTCAATAAATATTTAATGAAAAACTTTCTGTGTGCCTCTGCACATGTTTTGATACATTGTCAGCACATCATGGACCGTATTTGATATTCCGCTTAATTCGGGAATCAGGTGACAAAGGACATGCTAAAGGACAAAATGTCATCTGTCAGACTCCTCGTCGTGATATCTCACGAAGTTAATGGAGTGTACCCCGAGACAAGCTGGGAGCAAAGCAGTGTGCAGACACATCAAATGATGCCTCATACACGGTCAGCATGTTATCTGAGGAAGAAATCCGTCATAACCATGCATCAGTACCATCAACACTTGACTTAACTCCTTAAACCTGAAGACATATCCATTCCTCTTTTGTATTGGATTCCAAAGCTCCATATAAAAATATGTACAAACAGATATATGTATTGCTGGGTCCAGCTAATGTATCTCCAAGTACCCATATCAAAGATTACGCAATAATCCCCAATGAAATCAATGAAGGACTGTATTTATATTCTCAGAAAGTATGAGTAAATTGGAATTTACCATGCTTGAATTTTTGCAATTTCAGAAAAGAACCAAGTTCAATTCTGTCAAAATATTTGATTTTTCAAGTTTCTACCTCAGTATTCCCACATAATAATGTATTTCACCAAACCAATGGTTATGGTATGACAGTGGATACTTGTACTGTACTGGGGACTTCTAGAAATGGCACTAAAGGCACTGCTTCTGTGTTTTACAGTACTTGCAAACACTTTTCTAGTTGAATCTGGTATGAGGTTTGTAGGAGGCATTTATTTTTCAAAACCCTCTAGAAAGGGCATTAAAAGGTCTGCTTCTGTTTTTGACACTTTTTTTTGTCATTGTCAGATGTTTGGTGAATGTCTCTTGTGTTCCGTTGCAGAATTTGAACATGTGTCATTGTCAGTTTACTGAGAAAACAATATGTGAAATGCTGGACTTCCTTATTGGTAACGTCTTTGTAAAATTTGTGGGTAAGACATTTAGGCAAGAAGTACACTACATTTCATAAGTAACTTCCCCTATTTTCGCGAAAATTTCTCGCCACTATTGCGGCACTAACGCGGAATTATCGCGCCACCTTTGAGCCTTTCACGCCACTATCGCGACACTTTCGAGACACTTTCGAGACAGAATAGTCACGCTATCTTATGACAGTTGTGCTAAATGTACGGTACAATATATTGTATTACTTTTTTCCTTGACTGATTTTGAGTTACGTTTTCCATGGCATGCTACTCTGCATTATTTAAGATAATAGTGTAAAGCTTCTTTTCCTTTTACCAATTCCGATATCTATACTTTATTTAGACTTCAAATGTAAGGTGATCTTGTGGTCATGACACCAATCACAAATACTCGTACACACATTAGCTGAGGTGATTTTCACGGCAACAAATAAGATAGAACAGAATCAAACACTATCATGTGTCGGCCAAAATGACCGTCAGGAAACCTCATAACCAACTAATGTTTTGTGCATGTCTAGTATCCCATAATGTTTCGTGATAAGTTTCATTCTGAATATAATGTGAAATAGTCTGGACAAAATCGTTTGGTTATTAAAGATTTTCTATGGTAAATGAAGTCCGTCACAAATATTACGTTGTTAGGTATTTGTATTACACAGTGACTTGTTCTTGATGTGTGGACGACTATTTACATTGTAAAAGAATACGCTTTTTATTGGAAACAAAATAAACAAAACCATTTCCATAATTTACTTCTTTTCCATTCCATTCCGACTATATCATAAGCATGTGTTAATGAATCATACTCATGAATCAGGTTAGAGCGTATCCACCACAAACACATGCAAATGCAAGTCAGGTATTTGCAAGTCAAAGACATACATGTACAGTTACCACATTGAAATAACACAACTTTATACGAAGCTTCTGAAATAAACTTAGGGAAGAGCTGGTTTCTTGTTTTAGAGGAAGACACTAGAATATACATGTATGTATTTACATAGACTTATCAGGCTGATTATAACTAGATTTGATTGGGAAATTTTAATCAATTTTTTTTTTTCAAGTACATTTCTTAGAATTCATGAGAAAATGTAAATCTTCCATGAACTGCTATTTGAGCGTCTTCAGGATTTATAACATGGTGCCCCGATTTTGATTTCAGTGGGGGGCACGGGTGGCCCAGTCGTCTTAGGCGTTGCGATTCGCTGTGCATTGTTGCGTCCCTTGGGCACGCCAGAAACCTATGATTGTGGGTTCGAAACCCGGTTCGCCCCAATTAAGTTTCTAGGTTTGTCAGCACCATACCCGTGCTCGTGGGGTTCACCGAAATGGTGAACGTCTGAGACCTGCATCACTTTGGGCTTTCCTCCCACATTAAGCTGACACGCCGTGATATAACTTGAATACTGTTATATGGGCAGTTACCTAAAGCAATTCCCCGAGAGTTGTTGCCTTTGTTATTGTTTTTTATTGAGTACCCGGATGATATAGCAGAGATCTAGACTAGTTCGTGGCCTGTGCTGCGCCATTCGTAAGCGCAGTTGTCACTTTTATTGACAGTATAAGGGCGTATGGTCACATTTATCAACAAAATGAAATACAGTTTTGGAAATAATAAGGAAATGTAGGTATCTTTGTGGGTAGCATCATTAATGGTGACTGTGTTTTGATAAGTCACTTGCTTGGTAATTGTGTGATTTTCGTTTACACTATTTTGACTTGCAACACAAAGAAAATATTTCACCTGCCCATTGCTTATTTTATGGTGTTTATTTTTTTACAGTCAAAATGTGCAAACGTTTCACTAAGGAAATTTATTAAACGCCTAAATATTCAGTTATTTCACAAATTGACTGAAAAATATGCCCATCCGTATTATTATGATGACGAAATCCAAACATTTTTATGTTTAATATCATCACCAAGTGACTGAAAATGTAAGGATATTAAAAGTACATTTCTATATTGTTTGGATTCTAATCCCAGCATAATTAATCTATTGTGATGTTTTTAAGCCCTTTTGACAGTCTTAGTCATTCTTAGTCAATCTGTTAAATAAATGAACAGATTTTTCAGTCAATCACCTGAAATATTTAGACATTCTATAAATTGCCTGAGTGAAGCATATTTTACACATTGACTGTAACATATACATGCATACAAAGGAAAAGACTTGTGAAAAACAACGTCTATCGCGCATCGAAGAACTTCTCAACCAAGACGTAGAGGAACAAGAATGATTCTGTTCAAAGCTACAGCAAATGAATGAAAACAAAATGCAAATATCATAATTACAACCTACCAAAGTTATATGTATATGTTTAGTCAGCTGCCTTGTTCGAGGAATGCAACCGTAAATATTCACATAAATAAACAATATTCCACACATCTGCAGCTGTACAAAGAAACTTATTGGATGTCACGTGTCTCTGTAACAATCAAATATTTCAAAATATATTTATCGTTTCGGGATATTATAACCCGTGTTTGGTTTCTCAACTGATCACTTAGTTTGTTTCAGTTGTTTCACATAGGTGTCAAGTCTCAAAGGTCAGCTGAGAAAGCCCACGTGACAACTGTTTTCATAATGTCCACAGTTCTTTAAAAAAATCCATTGAGTTAGATAACAATGAGCAATCAATCAACGTTATATGGGCTTTGAACAAAGTATGTTGTTTTCACATCGGCACTTCACGCCCAGATATTGGGGTATTTCGTCTGCTTTAGTAAACATACACATCTAAACGCTTACTTTTGACAAATCCACTGCGCAAAATAACAGTGATTATTCAATCAACGTAATTTCTGCTGATCCTTTGATGGCGAGGAATGATGGTGATCACTCCTCTTGCTGGGCTGAACATGCATATTATATGACATACATTTCACCTCACTTCAAACCGGGATTCTGTTTAAACCTGGATTTGAATTGAATAAATACCCAGAACACACGAAATGCCTAATGGGAACCTTTATCAGTTAATCTGAGTGGTGCCTCCAGTAATTATACCTGTAATAAATTAACTGAGCATCAATTGAATGACGACAAATACACAATTTTCGGTTATACCAGAAAACATTGATGACAACTAGGGAGTAGTTTACCCACGCAATCCGAAATCCGAAAATGCTTTCACTGCAGGGATACTTTTCTTATTATAAACTATAACCACCAGGGGTATATTTCCAAATAACGACATCCGATGAGCTTCTGTCGTTCTTTTTGTCTGTTTGTTTAGGCTGAAGAAATTTATTAACATGCGCCCTTTGTCCAAATCTTCATAGATCACAGGTAACCAATCAGTGTTGAAAAATGCGTAAAACAAATATTGCCTCCAAGTGTTTTTAGCTGTCCTTGCAGACGGTAGCCCAGTCTCTTGTCACGCTCAGTTGCATTTGCGAGCAAAATCGACTCACGGCAGCTAGTGTGACCAAGCGGCTAATGTCAGACTGCCGAGAAGAAACTAGAGATTATAGAAACCCAACTCACTCACTGATTTCAGTGATTAGTGATAAGTAGTGCCCCTTCTAACTATTCACTTATTATACCTCTTGTCAGTGTTAGAAACATTTAAATGTTCTAAAACAGATAATTAAATAGTTCGTTCACATACGCATCGACCCGTTGGACGCGGACATTTCGCAATTTCATAAATAAATTCCTGAAGTGGTCTAACGGGTTCATTTTGTGACACGTGTAAGTAGCAAAAGTGTCAGTTTAATGCTTTGCCTTAAATATATGCAATATTTATTATTAAAGCAATACACAGACTTCTTTCTTTAGATACGCATGTATGTGTTTAAAAGAACATCCTTGAAAGGGGCCCGCTGGAAATATTATCTGGGATGGTAGGAGGCAAGATGATTGTGTTGTATTATTTTCCACTTACATGGAATTAACGTTTCACGAACACCCGATACCATATTTGATAGTGATTTATAAACACATGCTCAAGATACAGTCGGAATGCTTTTAGCAGAGATTTTCTTTTGAATATGGAAAGGATTGTGTCG